CTTGATACATGCTACAATATGTGTGGAGCCTGAAGACATTATGCTGAGTGATATAAGTCAATTACAAAAAGATAAATATTGCATGACCTCACTTATATAAAAAGACAAGAACAGGCAAATGTATAGAGACTAAAGTTTATTAGCAATTACCAGGGCCGGGAGGGAACGGGGGAAGGGGGATTTATTACTTATGGAGCATGAGTTTAGGTTTACGATGATGGAATAATTTCACCGATTAAGGGTAGGGTTGCACAGCCAATGTAATTGCTGTCAATTAATTTGTACACCTGTAAAAAGTTGAATTGGCAAAAGTATAATAGAAAGATATACAACAACAAAAAAGAGCAGCTGCTAAGGCTTATGTACAACCAAAAACCTCATTGCTTTTGGTTTCTTGGATTGGAGGTTTAGGGTCATGGTTTCATGGGACATCTCAGTTAAATGGCGTAATAATATGTTTAGTCCTTCTGTTCCATCTCCCAGTTTGCTGTGCTGTGCCTGGGGTCTTAAAAGCTTGCAAGCAGCCATCCAAGGTATAATTGGTCTCTATTCGCCTGGCACAAGAGAGGAAGAAGGAAAGTCAGGAACAGGAGAAAGAAATGGAACGTGTGGCTAACTGCCCCCAAGAACAACTGCATCTTTTGCCATAAGACTAGAAGAAATGGACAGTGCCCAGCTACCATTACTGAATGTTCTGATCAAAGATTTTACACAGAATTATGATCAAAAGGGAGAAAATACAGAACAAAATTTCAAATTCCCATGGAATCCAGGCTTTCAGGAGCCATGCAGGCTGGATGAAGCCCAGAAACTGCTGCCCTGAGATAATCTTTAAACCTTAAACCAAAAATATCTCCTGAAGTCTTATTAAAACCAAACAATAGTTTAGCTTAACTAGTAAAGAATGTCTGCCTTGAGCATTGTGCTCTTTTAAGAACTACTATATGGGATCAAATTGACAACAGCAACTCGAAAGATTAGATAGGAACCTTAGGGGTCAAAAGCAGGGTGAAAATGGCTGCACAACTTGAAGAAGTGATCAATGTCACTGAATTGTAGTGCAGAAATTGTTAAATTGGTGTCTGTTCTGCTAGGTGTATTCTCAAAAACAACAAAAAATAAAATAAATTTCTTAAAAAACAAAACTAATTATAGTGATAGGAAATAAAAATTACGAATTCATCATAAAAAAAATAATTCACCTAATTAGTTACACTTACTCTCTTGAAAGTATGACATACAATTATAGCAAAATTACTTCCTTTGGTAACAAACTTGTAAATTTTATTAAAGCTGAATAAAAAAGTAGTAGTATTAATAAAACAGAGTTTTAAATCCTCGTGTCTTAAGAACAGACAAATCGGAATGCCACTGGCACCATGACACTCCTTTAGTAACTATGGTCCCTTAGGGTCCTGGGATAACCTAAAGAGAATAACATAAAGACTATTCTGGCTTAAAATCTTAAAGGATTTTTATCAGTATTGTGATACCTGCCTAAATTTTGTGAGCAAGGCGAAGAATGTCTCTAGCCTAACTCAAAGTTACATTTTGGACAAGGTTTACATAACTCACAAAACCTCCTGTTCCCCTTGAAAAATTTTCCAATCATCTCCACTTTGAGCAAGCATGCCTCCTTCCCATCACCTCCCCAATCACATACATAACGATTCACAGTGCCTGGCAAACTGCAGGAGCTTTATAATCAGGAGAGAGAAGAAAGATAATCTTTGCTCCCAATTTGGCTTTGAAGGTCTCATCATCTTATAAGATAACTGCATCTATCCAAGTTTCCTGGGTGGACACAGGTATCAGTGTTATCACTTGGTTGCTGCCCCATGTACAGCACTAACAGATCAGATGATAACAAAATTACATAAGTCCTATATATCAACTAAGTGATGGTGAACATTCAAAAACACAAAGGAGCACTATTATCCTGGAGTAGTCTCATTGACAGATAAGAATAGCAGGATGACAGAAGTCTATAAAAAACCATAATGTTGATACAATATTAATAAACAAAAGCCAATTGTATTTCTATACATTTTCAATGAATTCTCTAAAAATGAATTAAGAAAACATTTATATTTATAATAGCATCAAAAATAATAAAGTACTTAAGAATAAACTTTACAAAAGAAATATAAAACTTATACTCCAAAAACTACAAAACATTGTAGAAAGAAATTAAAGACCTAAATAAATAAAAAGATATCCTATGTTCAAAAGGTCATGGAAGCCCCATAGACACATCCAAACTCCCTGAGAGTCTGAATTGCTGGGC